TTCGGCACTCCCTCACCATGCCATACTCCCCTGCAATGAACGGCATCGCCGAGCGAGCGAACCGCACAATCACGGAGGCGGCACGCGGGTTGCTCATTGAAGCCGGGCTACCCGACTATTTCTGGCCTGATGCGGTGCGGAGCGCGTGTGTGGCCAAGAACAGAGCCTTGACTCATGTGGGAGCAGACAAATGGGTGCCCTATGTGGAGTGGCTAGGAAGGAAGCCAAAGGTGGATATGCTTCGGGTGTTCGGGTGCATGTGCATGGCGCTCGTGCCTAAGCATCTTCGGCACAACAAGCTTGGTGCCAAGGCGGTGTGGGCCGTGCACTTGGGCATGGCTCAAAACAGCAAGGGATGGCTTCTTTGGGACCCATTCACCAAGAAGTTCTTGGTGAGCAGGGACTGCAAGTTCATGGAGAACTTCATGTACAAGGATTGGAAGGCGGAGAATGAGGCGAAGATAGGCGTGCGGTTTGGGGAGGTGAAGAGTTCCGGTTTGGAGCATGTGGAGCTGCCTTTGGAGCTGAGCAGCGGCAGCACAACCACAAGGCAATCCTCCCTTGTGAATGGGGGAGAGGAGGCCAATGATGCAGAGGAAGAAGAGGAGGAGGTGCAGCAAGTGAGCGAGCGTGCACCGTCACTCCCTTCCCGTACTACGAGTGCTCCACGGATTCGAGCCACACCGCAGCAACGCCAAGGCCTTCAAGTCCCTGCAGCTGAGGAGGAAGGAAGGGGGAAGAGGAGAGTTCAACCCCCTAATAGGCTGACCTATGATGCGCCGGGAAAGCAGGGCAAGACAGCCCTGGCCGGAGCGGCAATGATGGTCGGAGACGACGAGGAGAGTGACTACAAGGAGTGTGCCTTCGCGTTCTTCTCTCCGGTGGAGATGCCGGGAGAACCAGCAACTCTCAAGGAGGCTTTGGAGAGTAGTGATGCTGAGGAGTGGAAGAAGGCCATGGAGAGTGAGCTGAAGAGCATCGAGGAGAATGACACGTTTGAATTGGTGGAGCTACCGGAGGGGCGTACGGCGATAACGTCCAAGTGGCTCTTCAAAATCAAGTCGGATGCCGACGGCAAGATCGAGCGCTACAAGTCTAGGCTTGTAGCCAAGGGGTACCAGCAGAAGGAGAAGGTGGACTTCAAGGAGCTGTTTGCCCCTGTGGTGAAGCCGACGACGCTGCGAACCCTATTCGCGGGAGCCGCCATCAAAGGATGGGTAGTAAAGCAAATGGACATCGTAACGGCATTCCTTAACGGCATCCTTGAGGAGGAGATTTTTATGGCGCAGCCAGAGGGGTTTGATGATGGTAGTGGCAGAGTGTGGAAGCTGAAGAAGGCCCTCTATGGGCTGAAGCAGGCCCCTAGGCAATGGTACATGAAGCTGCGCGAAGTGTTGGAGGGGATCGGCTTCACTCCCTCAACGGCCGATCACTCCTTGTTCATGCTTGGCGAGGGGGAGCAGAGGAGTTTCATGGTGGTTTATGTGGATGACATCCTCATTTTCTCACCCTCTTCTGACCTTGTGAAGGAGGTGATGCTGAAGCTTCAAGACAAGTTCAAGTGCAAGGCCCTTGGTGACGTGAGCTTCTACCTTGGGCTCCACATCGAACGAGATGTGGAGAAGCGGTGCATGCGGGTGCATCAACGAAAGTACCTGGAGGCATTGGCTGCCAACTTTGGGCAGAGTGAAGGCCATGTGGCTACACCCTTTCCCTCTGGGTTCAAGTGTGTGAAGGGACCAGAGGAGGAGAGCGTTGGTGAAGAGGAGAGGCGCCGATTTCACTCGTTGGTGGGCAGCCTCATGTATGCGGCGGTAAACACCCGACCGGACGTCGCGTTTGCTACCGGGCAGCTGGCTAGGGTTGTGCAATGCCCTAATGAGGAGCAGGTAGCAGCTGGAATGAGGGTGGCCAAGTATCTTGGCCAAACACCGACCGTTGGGCTGCAATACTCGGCGGCGGCACAAAGGCGCCAAAAGGGCGCGGATGGTGTTGAACCCGGGCGTTTGTTCCTCACCGCCTACTCGGATGCTTCATATGCATCAGAACCAGAGGACATGACAAGTGTGGGAGGCTTCATATGCTGTGTTGGTGGAGGCCCAACTGCTTGGGAGAGCAAGAAGCAGGTTGACCAAGCTTTGAGCTCGGTGGAGTCCGAGTACATGGCACTCTTCCGTGCCGTATGGGAGATTGTGTGGCAGCGGCGTTTGTTGGCTGAATTGGGGGAGGAGCAGCAAGGACCTACCCCACTGTACTGTGACAGCCAGGGTGCCATTGCTCTTGCTAAGAACCCTGTGTTGCATGGACTCACGAAGCACATGAGGGTGAAGTGGCATTGGACGAGGAGCATGGTAACCGCGGGTGAAGTTGAGTTGCGCTACGTGAAGACCACGGGGCAGCCGGCTGACATGATGACCAAGAGGCTGGTGGAGCAGCAGCATTGGAAGTGTTGCAAGCTGGCTGGGATGGCTCTGAACTGAGAGAGCAACATATCCTAAGGCCAACAATCCGAGGGGGAGTTTGTTGGTGCAACCCTACGGTTTGCACTCGGCTTGTTGTCCGTGTGCGTGAATGTGTGTGTGTATGGAATGGTATGAGGGCATGGGATAATATATATTTCATGCTTATAATTGTGTGTGAATGTTGAGTCATGATGTCGAGTGTGTGTGTCGAGTCAATAGCGAGTTATCGCTAGACGCGTGTTACGCGGTCGTTTGTGTCTCGCGCGCGGTTTCTATTTTGTCGTGCGCGGTTTCTATTTTGTCCTGTGTCGAACGTTCGGCGTGTCGCAGGTGTGTGCAGCAGACCCATCAAGAACTCAAGGATGAGTTTGTGATGAAGAGCCCGAGCCTTGGTGTCAAGCCTCAAGTGATTTCGAAGCTCGCCAAAAGGGTACACCTCAAGATATTGAAGATAGTTACATTACTTTGTGTAGTGTAACATTTCACTTGGTGTAGGCCCTAGTGAAGGGTAGTTTCGAGACCCTTCGTGGTTGGGGACAGTGTGGCACTGTTCCACATCACTGTACCTCGGCTCTTGGGGTTTGTAGGAGCTGGGAGTCATTCCCAACTCGTAACTCTTCCTATCTTGTGTTCTAAGACTATAGTGGCTGCCATAGTACCGTTCGTTCAAACCGACGCTGTGTCGTCAATTCTTTATCAAATCGTGCAATCTAAATTGCTAATTGTAGACGACGTTAAGACGCTCCAGATCCAATTTGAATCAAGTCATTTGCAGCTGTGAGCAGAACGCTATCAACGTTTGAAGCCGCTGTGCAGAAATCCGTCTGTGCTCTCTATCTTTCGTTTTAGGCACATTCAAGCCTATTGTGACTATAACAGTTCGATCCTGTCTACCCTTCGCTCTTGCGCCTAACGACACACAAAGCTGTGGACTCTCACAGCCGTCCGATCTTCACCTTGACGGTATCGAACGGATGTCCAGTGACAACGAGAGCCACTCCTGCGGCGACCCCTGCCGTGAAATCCTTCACTGCGGCGAAATCGTTTGGCGGAGGTGGCGAGGCGAACTGGTTACTCGGTGGCGATCCGAAATCGTTCGCACGAGGAACGGTGACGTCCTTCACACTCTCGACGGCTGGCTGCCGCATTTTCCGGTGCGATCTCAGCCGCTGATACCCAAGATCGCAGCCAGATGCAAATGATTTTCGGGAATGCCGGCAGAGTTGACGAGCTTACTGCCCGCTAAAAGCAAATGCACGCTACGCAGGGACTAGGGCTAGAAACGGCGGACTGGACGAGCAGAGCGATAGGCAGCTACGGCAGACCAGACGGGGAACGCACGCGCAATAGACTTAGCTCGAGTCTTATTATTTGCGAAGTTGAAACAATATGTATTGACAAGGAGCTTAGTCGGTCTTAGCTAGCTGAGGCACGCATATAAATACTGCGTGTTTTCCTACGCAAATACCAGCTGCGAGCGCCCGTGCTGTCTGCAGGTCCCGTCCACTACGGCGTTTTCTGCGGACTAGCGGGACAGAGAGGAGCGGGAGGCTTTGAGCTGCGCGCTTGCGCGGAAAGCGGAAGCAGGGCGATTCCGCGCAAAGAGAGGGCTGTCACGCTTTTGGCGTCCTGTCCTGACCTCTTCCTATAGTTATGGGCGTGGTGCATGCACTCGCGCACTTCGAGTGCAGAATTACCGCTTTGTAACGTAATCAAACGTACTGAATACCTTTTGAACTACCGAACTTCAACTGTTCCTCCGAAGCAAGGTGTTGCGCTCTCACTTGAGGGCGAGATCGTCGCGGGCGGGGGCCGAACCAAACGAGCGCCGTGCCTCGGTCACCCCGAACCCCGCTATAGAGAATGCCACCCGCGCATACGACACCGCGGTAACGGGTCAGTTTCAACATTCTGCGTATGGAGAAATACACCATGAAGGGTCTGAACACTCGCTCTTTTTCCTTACTCTTTTACCGCGGATGCTTGAGAAGTATCTGCAAGATGGTTGTGAGTCACGACGGAGTGAACGCAGTCAAGCCAGTTCAGACCACACAACAACTTGGGCTAGTAGGACTTTCCCAGTGCTGTACGATAGCGTATTCTAGTCCCAAGCCTAGTAGTTTAGTGAATCGTGATCATTGATCGCAATGGCTTGCCGTCGTTAAGCCTGTTCGCCGCGTGATTACCGGTCCTTGTTCTCCAACAGATCCACGTCGTTGCATTATACGCTGAACGCTCGGGTGTCTCCAAGTCGTTGCGCCGTCGCGTCGTCCACGTCAGCTCCAACTTTGCAAATCGTTGTAGCCGTGAACGGTTGCTACGCGTGACTATAAAGCCCGCTGATCCCGATACGTTAAAAAATCAGCTCAGCGGGGTTTCCGCTCCAAAAGTCGACATTGAAGCTGACGTTGATTGCCGAAATCGATTGCGATTCTCCACTGTATCAGAATTCTCCATCGTCAACACACTCTGCAGCCATTTCTGTCAACGCAATCATCGCAACCATCGCATAGCCATCGCAGCCATCGCATTGCAGCCATGAAAGCGGGCTCCGCCAGCAGTCGCGGAGCGGGGCGAATGTGGACGGCAGCGGGGTCGTCGCCTCAGGGATCCATGCGAGGGATCGGCGACTCGTCGCTCACGTCGCGTTCGCGAAAGAGCAAGAAGAGTCGCTCGCTCGTGAGGCGGCTGCTGAAATGCCGCTTCCAGACCTTCATCCTCTGCGTCGTTCTGGTCCGTCCGATCGCTGCCTTTTCGATTTGTCGCCGTCAGATCTCTCTTCTGTGTTCCAGTCCTTTTTCATGCATCGCCGCTTCCCCCCACCCCCGTACCTGTGCAACGTCTGCATTCTCTTGGCTTCCTGTTCTCCTCCACCCGCTCCCCAAACACACCCCTTTCCTCCCATCCACACCCCTTCCCCCTCTCCCCTCCCCCTCGTCGCACTCCCGTTTCCCCACCTCGCCACCTTCTCCCTTCCCACGCCCTCCTCCCCCCACCCTCCCCATCTATGCTCCCAATTCTCCCTCCCTCCATCCATCTTTCCCTCCCTCCCTCCCTCCCTCCCTCCCTCCCTCCCTCCCTCCCTCCCTCCCTCCCTCCCTCCCTCCCTCCCTCCCTCCCTCCCTCCCTCCCTCCCTCCCTCCCTCCCTCCATCCCTCCCTGCCTTCCTCCCTCCCTCCTTTCGACCATCCGGCCCCATCCATCCATCCCTCCCTCTCTCCCTCCCTCCCTCCCTCCCTCCCTCCCTCCCTCCCTCCCTCCCTCCCTCCCTCCCTCCCTCCCTCCCTCCCTCCCTCCCTCCCTCCCTCCCTCCCTCCCTCCCCCCCTCCCTCCCTCGCTCCCTCCTTCCCTCCCTCCCTCCCTCTCTCCATCCCTCCCTCCCTCCCTGCCTTCCTCCCTGCCTTCATCCTCCTTCCTTTCGACCATCCGCCCCCATCCATCCCTACATCCCTCCCGCGCGAGCAGGTGGTGCTGTGCAGTGCGCTCGTCTTCCTCTTCGTGGTGGACAAGTTCCCTTTTTCAATGGGGGCCAAAGAGGCCGCTGCCGCTGCTGCAGACGACCTTGTAAGTCGCTCTGCACCGCCCCGCTCTGCTCTGCTCTTCTCTGCTCGGCGCTGCTCTGCTCTTGTTTGTAGAGCGCGTGCGCTTCTCATTGCCATGGTCAGCCAGTTCCCTTTCTCCATGGGAGCAAAAGAGACCGCTGCCGCTGCTGCTGCTGTTGCTCGTGCTGTGGCCACAAGCGACCCTTGTAAGCCGCTCTATTCAATCGCACCAATACATGCATGCTCAACAACCCCGTTTCCTTCCTCCCACCCACGTTTCCCGCGCCAGTCCACGTCAGCAGCGGAGACGAAGCCATCCCACGTGGCAATGGATCTGAGCGCACACGGCAAGCAGCAAGAGACGGTCAGGATGATCACTGGGGAAGGGGACGGCATAGCGGCGGACAGCAAGGGCTCCAAGGGCGGCAAGGGCGGCAACAAAGGTGGTGGCAAGGATGGTAAGGAGAGTAAAGGCAGCAAGGGGAAGGCAGATCCGAAGCAGGCAGCACAGGGGAAAGACGCTAAAGATGGAAAAGATGATAAAGGGGCCAAGGGTGGGAAAGGCGGGAAGGAGACGGGGAAACCTGGTGCTGGCAGTGGTAAGACGAGTCACCCTACCACAGGTGTGAAGCCGGCGAATCCAAAGCAGCAGCAGAAGCCGGGTGGTGCTGCTAAGGGAAAGGGGCATCCTGTGGGGAAGCAGCAGGGGAAGACCCCGGGGGGGAAGGCACCTCATGGGAAATCGCCTGGAGGGAAGGCACCAGGAGGAAAGGGCGCAGGTGGGAAGGCTGGGGGGGTGAGACCTGGTTCAGGGAAGCAAGCAGGGAAGGCGCAAGGAGGGAAGGTGCAAGCAGGTGCAGGTACAGCGAAGAATGTTGCGGCACATGCAGGGGGGAAGGGAGCAGTGGTGGTGGCGAAGGGAAAGGTGCATCCAGCACCGAGGCAAGACAAGGCGGGAGGAGCAAAGGGTAAAAGTGGGGTTGCGGCAGGGAAGCAGGGTGGGAAGGGGAAAGGAGCAGTGCCGGCTGGTGGGAATTTAAGAGGGGTTACTGCCGATCCCAAGAAGGGAGGCAAAGGTCAGAAGAGCTGACTTTTGAGTCAGCAGGGTGGGAACGGGAAAGGAGTAGTGCTGGCTGGTGGTGGGAAATTAAGAGGGTTGCTGCCGATCCCAAGGGAGGGAAAGTTCAGAAGAGTTACGGTAGGATGAGAAGCTAGCCATGTCCATAGCGCATGGGCAGGTTTTGTTGTTGTTCTTTCTTTCTTCTTGAAATTGTTGCTGCTGCCATAAGATTCGTGTGTGTTTAATGGGGGTTTTACCCTGTATGAATATGCTCTTCCGTTCTGGTATTTTTGTTTTTTAGCAAAACTACAAGCCCTAGTTTACCCTTCAGTGTACGCGTTAGAACATCGTTCCACCTTCGCAACCTCACAAAAGGTGGCTGCTCCTCTTCCTCCTCTCACCAACAGTCCGTTCCGCCGAGTTTCTAGCCTCATTCGCAAGTCGGAATTTCCTGCTGTTGGAGAGCTCGTGGCCATGGCCAAGGGCAAGGGAGGGGCGATCCTGGTGAAGCTGCTCTCGGCGGCGGGGACGGGCTTTTTCTACGTCACCAAGAAGAACCCGCGCAACCTGCCGCACAAGCTCGAGTTCCGAAAGTACGACCCGCGCGTTCAGAAGCACGTGCTCTTCACCGAGACTAAGCTCCGTTAGTAGATTAATCGCCGCGTCGCGGTCTCGGGTCGGCTTGGGTCTGTGATTTGTGGCTAGGAACGGGGTTCTGTTTGTGCCGTGCGGAGTTGTCTAGTATGGTTCGATACTGACACTTGGCAAAGCAGCGGGTTTGCCGTGTAATGAAGCATTATAAATCCATCTATCTTTTGTGAATTTGATTACTAAATCGGTCCGTAGGCTTGTAGCAGCGTGAATTGATTCGTTCGGGACTTCATAGTTAGAAGGCCCACTAACCCACCTAAACGCGTACTCACCAGACGTGTCTGTCATCGGCAGCCGTGAATCGCCGCGAGTCGCCGCGAGTCGCCGTGAGTTGCCGTGAGCCGCCGTGAATCGCGCGCCGTGAATCGCGCGGCGATGGATTTCCAGGAGCTGGAGGCGGCGGAGGGGCTGCGCTTCTCGTGGAATGTGTGGCCGTCGTCGCGCCTCGAGGCGACGCGCTGCGTCGTCCCCTTCGGCGCGGTCTTCACGCCACTCGCGGAAATCCCCGATCTGCAGGTCGTTCCGCATCCGCCGCTGCTCTGCAAGGCGTGCGGCGCCGCGCTGAATCCGTACTGCGCGCTGCACTGCGGCACCCGCTCGTGGGCATGTGCGCTCTGCCAGCAGGTACTGTAGGGGGTATGTGTGGAGGGGAGCGGCGGAAGGTATAGCGCGTACGCGCTGTGCAGGTGCTATTGGGGGATGGGGGTGGGGAAAGCGAAAGCAGGCGGGAGAGGGGGAAATGGCATGGGAGTGGTGGGTTGTGTTGGGTTGGGTGGATAATCTTAGGACGATAAATCCTAAGGACTGCTGCTGCGTGCCTCCCTCCTTCTCCTAACCTTCCTCCTCCCCTTCCACCCCTCCCACCCCTCCTCATCCCCCACTCCACTCCCTCCTCCTATACTCATTTTCCCGTGCTCTCTCCCCTCCTCTCCCCTCTTCCCCCTCTCCCTCTCCGCGCCTCACAGAGGAATGTGTTTCCTCCCTCATCACTCCAGGGACGTGAGCGATTCCAACCTGCCCATGGAGCTCTCCCCAGGCCCCCCAACCCATCGCTCCTGTTCGCTCTGCTCTCTTCCTTTTCCCACCCAACCACACACCACAGAGGAACGTGTTTCAGCCCAACTACAGGGACGACAGTGAGACGAGTCTGCTCATGGAGCTCTCACTCACCTTTCCCTCCCCGTCCCCTTCCATACCGTCCCTTCCACTCTCCTTCCCCCGCTCGCCTGCTTTCTCCCTCCCCACTGACACAGAGGAACGTTTTCCCGCCCAACTACAGGGACGTGAGCGAGACGAATCTGCCCATGGAGCTCTCGCCACTTCCCCCACACCCGTCCTAACCCCCCTCTTCTCTTCGCACTTCTGCTTCCCCCCCACTCGTCCCACAGAGGAACATCTTCCCACCCAACTACAGGGACGTGAGCGAGACCAACCTACCCATGGAGCTCTCTCCCAGCCTCAGCACCATCGAGTTCCTCCTGCCCCACGCCGCCACACCGTGCGTCCCTTCCTCCCCTGCTCCCCCTCCTGCCCCACGCCGCCACACCGTGCGTCCCTTCCTCCCCTGCTCCCCCTCCTGCCCCACGCCGCCACACCGTGCGTCCCTTCCTCCCCTGCTCCCCCTCCTGCCCCACGCCTCCACACCGTGCGCCTCTGCTCTCCCCTCCCCGTGCTCGTTTTGTCTCTTCCGATCTCCTCTTCGCTTCACTTCCCCCGTCTCTTCTTTTCTCCTCCATCTTGCCCTGCATTTGCGCGCTGCTTCTTTGCCCCTCTCGCCTGCCCATCCCTTGTGCTTGCCCTTGCGGCTAATGTGTGTCGCGTCTCCTCTACTGCCACTACTCCCACTACTGCCACTACTGCCACTGTTGCCACTGTTGCCAGTTACCCTCCCAAGTGATTTCCTTCCTCCTGCCCCCTGTCCCCCCACCTCCGACCCCACAGGCAGCCCACGTTTCTGTTTGTGCTGGACACGTGTGCACCACCTGACGAGCTGCACCACGCCAAGGCCGCGCTTCTGCAGCTGCTGTTGACTCACCTCCAGAGTCACATCTGCCCCGCCTGCCCTCCTCCTCCCCCTCCCCCTCCCCCTCCCCCTCCCCCTCCCTCCAAACAGGCAGCCCGCGTTCCTCTTTGAGTTCGACACGTATGTGCCACCTGACGAGCTGCACCACGCCAAGGCAGCCCTGCTGCAGCTGCTGCCACTGCTACCAGTCGCCTGCCCCGTGGGTCTCATCACAGTTGGGGCACAGGTGGCCGTGCACGAACTCTCCCACTCCTTCCCTCACTCCCTTTCTCCCTCACTCCCTCCCTCATTCCTTCTCCTCCTCCCCATCCAGGCAGCCCGCATTCCTCTTTGTGTTGGACACGTGTGTACCACCTGACGAGCTACACCATGCCAAGGCCGCCTTGCTGCAGCTGGATTGTCTTAAAGTCCACCTCTGTACGATGCCCTCTCTCCCCCAACCTCCAGGCAGCCCGTGTTCCTCTTTGTGTTGGACACGTGTGTACCCCCTGACGAGCTACACCATGCAAAGGCGGCCCTGCTGCAGCTGCTGTTGAGTCGCATCTGCCCCCCTCCCCGCCCTCCTTTTCCCCCTCCCCTCCTTTCAACAGGCAGCCCGCGTTTCTCTTTGTGTTGGACACGTGTGTTTCCCCTGACGAGCTACACCACGCGAAGGCTTCCCTGCTGCAGCTGCTGCCGCTGCTACCAGTCACCTGAAAAGTCACTTATGTTCCCACTCCCCCCCTTACCCCTCCTTCCAAACAGCCAGCCCGCATTTCTGTTTGTGTTGGACACGTGTGTTTCCCCTGACGAGCTACATCACGCCAAGGCCGCGCTGCTGCAGCTGCTGCCACTGCTACCAGTCACCTGCCCCGTCGGTCTCATCACAGTGGGCGCTCAGGTGGCCGTGCACGAACTCTCCCACTCCCTCCCTCACTCGCTCCCTCACTCGCTCCCTCACTCGCTCCCTCACTCGCTCCCGCGCTCTCAAGCCGGCCCACTGTCGTCGCGTGTGGTGCTGCTACCAGGCGACAAAGACCTGCCTCCCAGCAAGATAAAGCACCTCCTGGGTCTGGGATTGCCTCAGCCTCACCTACCCTCTGCACCATCTAAGACCACACCCAGCAGCGGCCATACCCCTGCAATGCACACCACCACCCATGCCAAAGGTCCCTTTACTGGCAAGCCGTCCTCTCCCAAGGGCCCTCTCTCTTCGAGATCCTCTTCCTCCTCTCATTCCTCATCTGCCCGCGTGTCAGCATCACCACCACCACTACTACCACCGCCAGCATCATTACTGTCCACGTCAGCAGAATCAGTGTCGTCGTCGCGGCCCCCGCCGTCGCTGGTGCTGGGCGGCAGAGGGGCGGCGGATGGGCGGTACTTGGTGCCTCTGGTGGAGGGAGAGGGCGTGCTGAGGGGCGTGGTAGCGGCGCTGCAGCCGGACTCACAGCCAGTGGTGCCAGGGGTCAGGTGAGATTCAATGGCTTTTCAGTGCGGTTCGGATGGGCGGTACCTGGTGCCTCTGGTGGAGGTAGAGGGCGTGCTGAGGGGCGTGATAGCGGCGCTACAGTCGGACTCACAGCCGTTGGTGCCAGGGGTGAGGTGAGATACAGTGGGTTCAGGACTTAGTGCGGTTCAGATGGGTGGAGTATGGTGCATCTGGTGGAGGGCGAGGGCGTGCTGAGGGGGGTGATAGCAGCGCTACAGCCAGACTCACAGTCAGTGGTGCCAGGGGTCAGGTGCGATTTGGCAGCTTTCACCTGAGCTTGAGAGCGGTTGAGATGTGGTATGCTCTGTCGGTGGTGGAAGGGAAAGGGGTGTGTTGGGGGGTGTCATACAGTCTCTGCAGCCTGAGTCGCAGCCAGTGGTGCCGGCGCCAGGTGCTGTACTATCAGCTGTTGGTCACCGGATTGCTCTGCACTTGGGTTGCACTACAGCTGGCTCTGTCGGGGATAAGCTGTGCTTGTCTCCCCACGCTTGGCTTTCCCGCTGCTTTCCCCTTCGTCTCCTCGCAGGCCGCGCCGAGCCATAGGCGCAGCTTTGGCAGCCGCCGTGGCTGTGATGGAGGCTCGGGGCGAGCAGGGGGCAGCGGAGGAGGGAGGGAGCACGGAGGATGGGACAGGACGGGCAGCATGGGAGAAGAGAGGAGCAGCAGAGGAGTGGGGAGGGGGGGCAGCAGAGTCAGGAGGGAGGGCGAGGAGGGAAGGTGAGGGGGCAGGGAGGGTAGGGGAGGGAGTGAGGAAGGTAGGGGAGAGGGAAAGAGGGGGAGGGGAGAGGGTGCTGCAGTCAGGAGGGCGAGTGGTGGTGCTGCTGGGAGGGCCGGGCACAGTGGGGCCAGGCATGGTGGTGGGTACAGACATGGCAGACTGCCTCCGCACACACTCGGATATTCTCCTCGACAACACCTCTTACTACCAGTCAGTGCCACTCTGCTCTGGAGCTGGGAACAGTGGGGCTGGGCACGGTGGGGCTGGGCACGGTGGGGCTGGGCACGGTGGGGTTGTGGCTGGGCAAGGTGGGGAACGGTGGGGCCGGGCATGGTGGTGGGTACAGACATGGCAGACTGCCTCCGCACACACTCGGATATTCTCCTCGACAACACCTCTTACTATCAGTCAGTGCCACTCTGTTATGGGGCTGGGAACATTGGGGCTAGGCGCTGTGGGGCTGGGCTGGGCACGGTGGGGTTGGGGCTGAGCTTGGTGAATCGGTGGGGCGGGGCATTTGGTGGGCACAGACATGGCAGACTGCCTCCGCACACTCTCGGATATTCCCCTCGACAACACCACTTACAATACAACGAGTCAGTACCATAGGCCAACTGTTGCTGTGTGTGTCTCTCCCTCCCTCCCTCCCGCCCTCCCTCTTCCCACCAGCCGTGCCACACGCTTCTAAATTCAGTTGGGTGAGCGAGCGTGGAGGTATCAGCGGCCATAGACGTGTTTGTATGTTTGCATGTTTGCATGAGTGGTGCTATAACTGGTGCTGCATCGTGTCATACCCTCCCTCCTCCCTCCTCCCACCAGCCGTGCCGTGCCACGCGTTTCTACACTCAACTAGGCGAGCGAGCAGCAGAGGTATCTGCGGTCATAGACGTGTTTGCATGTGCCGCGGACCCAAGTTTTGTTATGTGTGTCCATCCCCCGCTCCTCCCGCCCTCCCTCCTCCCACCAGCCGTGCCACGCGTTTCTACACTCAGCTGGGCGAGCGAGCAGCAGAGGTATCAGCAGCCATAGACGTGTTTGCATGTGCGGCGGACCAAGTGGGGGTGGCGGAGATGAGGGGCGCGATTGAGGCGACAAGTGGCACGCTCGTATTGGCCGACTCGTTTGAGTCAGACATCTTTGCCAAATCGCTGTACAAGCTGTTCCAACGGTCCCATGAGGTGAGTCATGGATCGTGAGTCTATGCCATGCCATGCCATGCTATGTCAGGCCATGCCATGCGATGCCAATCCATGCTATCTCATGCCATGCCATGCCAATCCATGCTATAACATGCCATGCCATGCTATACCCTCGCATCCTCGTTACAGGGCCCTCTGTTAGCCGCCACAGACGGGGTAGTGGAGGTGAAACTCCCCAAGGAGATCAAGGTGATGGGGGCGGTGGGGGCGTGTGGCAATCTGTGGAGCAAGGCAGAGAGCGTGAGCGAGCACGAGGTGGGGCAGGGGGGAACAGCTGCCTGGCGCCTCTGCTCCCTCTCCCCCCGCTCCTCCTCTCTGGCGTTTTTCTTTGAGATAGCAGCGCCGCACAGAGCACACCAGATCCCTCCGGGCTCGTTTGCCCTGTTCCAGGTGTGTGTGTTGCTCACGTAAGGTGTTCTCTTCTTTTGTGGGGGCGGTGGGGGCGTGTGGGGGCGTGTGGAGGCGGTGGGGGCGGTGGGGGCGTGTGGCAACCTGTGGAGCAAGGCGGAGAGTGTGAGCGAGCACGAGGTGGGGCAGAGCGGCACGGCCGCCTGGCGCCTCTGCTCCCTCTCCCCCCGCTCCTCCTCCCTCGCCCTCTTTTTTGAAATCGCCCCGGCCAGAGTACACCAGATTCCACTGGGGTCGTTCGCGTTGTTCCAGGTGTGTTGGCCTGGGAGGGTTGGCATGTCTTTCTTTCCCTCTGCTCCCTCTCCCCCCCGCTCCTCCTCCCTCGCCCTCTTCATTGAGATAGCATCGCCGAGAGCGCATCAGATCCCGCCGGGCTCGTTCGCGTTATTCCAGGTCTGTTGGCCAGGGAGGGTTGTTTCTTGTGGGGGAGGTGGCTTGTCTCCCTCGCCCACTGATTGCAATCCGTTGTGTGCTGTCATGCGTGTGCTGTCCCAGGCACGTGAGGTGTTCGGCTGTCTTCCCTAGTTTTGAGGCGCCTCAAAACTAGGCTTGTCTCCCTCTCCCACTGATTGCGTGCTGTCATGCGTGTGCTGTCATGCGTGTGCTGTCATGTGTGTGCTGTCCCAGGCACGTGAGGTGTTCGGCTGTCTTCCCACCATCCGCCCTCCACCTCCCCCCTTTCCCTCTCAGTTCCTCACCACGTATCGCCACGGGGATGGTACCAGGAGGGTGCGCGTGGCTACAGCAGCCAGGCGTTGGGTGCACATGGGGGGGGAAGGGGCTGCTGGCGCGGATTCGCAGGCTGGTGGACTGGGGGTGGCGGAAGGGGATGGGGAGTTGGTGGTGGGGGGGGTGCCGGGGGGGAGAGCAGCTGCAGCGCTGGCAGAAGTGGTGATGGGGTTTGATCAGGAGGCTGCCGCTGCACTCGTGGCCAAGCTAGCTGCCTTCAAGGTGCGTATTGCTGTCTGCCCTGCATCCTGGGAAGGGAGGCAAGGGACTCTCAGGCTGTTGTGGTTGACTTAAGGGAAACGAGGAAGGGAGGGGAGGGCAAGCACTGGTGGAGGTGGTGATGGGGTTTGATCAGGAGGCTGCTGCTGCACTCGTGGCCAAGCTAACTGCCTTCAAGGTGCGTGTTGCTCTGTATTTTGCAAAAGGAAGGGAGGTGTTCTGGGATTGCTGTTCTGGGCTTCAATTACCTGTCATGATGCATCCTTGTCCTGTAAAACTCATCCCACGCTGCTGCTGCTCCCCCCTTCCCCCTCAACCCTCGCCAGGCAGAGTCAGAGGACATGAGTGACATGCTGCGCTGGTTGGAACGCATGCTCATCCGCTTTGCATCTGTGCCCTCTCATGGTGCATCCCTCCCTGTGCTCTAAATCTCATCCCATGCTGCTGCTTCTCCCCCCTTCCCCCGCCACCACCCACCAGGCAGAGTCAGAGGACATGAGTGACGTGCTGCGCTGGCTGGATCACATCTCATCCGCTTTGGAGCTCTGCCCTTTCATGATGCCCCTCTGTGCTGTAAATCTCAATACATACTGCCTCTTCTTCCCCCGTTCCCCCCCATCCCCCACCAGGCAGAATCAGAGGACATGAGTGTGTGCTGCGCTGGCTGAATTGCATGCTCATCCGTTTTGGAGCCAAGTTCGGGCAGTACAGCCGGGGGGACCCCTCCTCCTTCCACCTCGCCTCCCACCGCCACCCTTAACCCCCCATCTTCTGCCCCACCAGGCAGAGTCAGAGGATATGAGTGACGTGCTGCGCTGGCTGGACCGCATGCTCATCCGCTTTGGAGCCAAGTTCGGGCAGTACAGCCGGGGGGACCCCTCCTCCTTCCACCTCGCCTCCGCCTTCTCCCTCTTCCCCCAGTTCATGTTCCACCTCCGCCGCTCCAGCTTCCTCCAGGTGTGCCTCCCCCCAGGTATGCCTTCCCCCAGGTGTGCCTTCCCCCAGGTGTGCCTTCCCCCAGGTGTGCCTTCCCCCAGGTGTGCATTCTTCAGGTATACTCTCATCCAGCGTACCAGGTTTGAACATGAGCGCGGGGCAGCCTGAAAGTTGTGCTGCGATGGGATGTAGCGTGAAGCGGCGTGGTTATAGCAGTCTGCCTGGCTGGCATGTGGCTGCCGCCTGACTCTACTCTCCTCCTTATCTGCATAGTCATGTTCACTGTGGTGTTGGCTGTGTGTGCATGTGTGCATGGCAGCAGGTGTTCAACCACAGCCCCGACGAGACGGCATTCTTCCGCCTTATGCTCACCAGAGAAGCTGTTGCTAACTCTCTCCTCATGGTTCAGGTACTGTACCGTCTTACCAATCAACCCCAAAGCACTAAGCTCTTCTGAACTTCCTCCTCATGGTTCGGTTTCCTGCTCGTAGCCTCCTCAATTCGTCCAGTTCGCTCCTTGTTGATCTGTGCCGGTTTTTCTCCTGTGAATACCTTGTCTTCATCTTCTCCCCGTCCTCCTCCTGTGAATACCTTGTCTTCATCTTCTCCCCGTCCTCCTCCTGTGAATACCTTGTCTTCATCTTCTCCCCGTCCTCCTCCTGTGAATACCTTGTCTTCATCTTCTCCCCGTCCTCCTCCTGTGAATACCTTGTCTTCATCTTCTCCCCGTCCTCCTCCTGCAGCCCGCACTGATCGCCTACACCTTTGAGTCGCCGCCGCACGCTGTGCTGCTGGACGTGTCGTCGCTGCAGCCCGACTGTGTGCTGCTGTACGACAGCTTCTTCCACATTGTGTCCCCTGCCATTCAACTCCTTGTCCTGTCTTTGCCTTCTCCTCCCAACCTTCTCATCGCATGCAGCCCGCGCTGATCGCCTACACCTTTGAGTCACCGCCACACGCTGTGCTGCTGGACGTGTCATCGCTGCAGCCCGACTGTGTGCTGCTGTACGATGGATTCTTCCACATTGTCGTGCTGCACAGCTCCACCATCGTGCACTGGAAGCACCAGGGCTTCCATCTCGACCCCGCACACGCAGCCTTCAGGTGCGCTTCCACCTATTGACTGAATATAACTGTGCTGCTGTACGATGGATTCTTCCACATTGTTGTGCTCCTCGGCTCCACCATCGTGCACTGGAAGCACCAGGGCTTCCACCTCGACCCCGCACACGCAGCCTTCAGGTACCCTTCCACATCTGTCTGTTTTTTTGCTGTATGGTCATGCTGCTATTCTCAGTTTTGATGCAGCGACTGGCTTGTCCATCTCCTTGCATCAGGGGACATGTGTCATGGCAGCTCTGATGTGCTTGTTCCTTCCCACTGTTGTTCCTTCCCACAACCTGGCTGGCAGGAAACTACTGGAGCTGCCGATGGAAGATGCATTAGCTCTGGCTAGCGAGAGAATGCCGGAGCCCAGAATCATGGAGTGTGAACAAGGAAGCAGTCAGTCAAGATTTCTGACTTCCAGGCTCAACCCATCGGCCACACATGCAAGCTCGTCCATCCCTTCATCTCCATCGTTTGTAGAGGAGGCAAAGCATTCGCAGCAGTACATTTTCACAGATGACGTTAGCCTAGAGACCTTTTCACAACACTTGCAGCGCCTTGCTGTTCAATAAAGCATGTATAGCAGTTGCAATAGCTCTTCTGCTGATCTGTAGCACACAGCTCAGTCAAATGCCTATGGTATGTGGAAGAAATTAGATGAAGAATATAAACAGGCTGTGCCAGAATCCATAAGCGAGCATTACCACGACCATCATGCGGATATGCACAGAAACTTGAGGAACTTGGGCCTCTTTTTGGCTGAAGCCAGCTCCGTCACCTTCTTCTCGAGCTGGTTAATCTTCTCATTAGCGACCACCAATGCTTTAGGATCTGTTTCATACATCTGCACATGGAAAACAAGAAGCAGATTTTAGAAGTGAAATACGTGCGTGACGCAAAGCTCCAAGGCAATTCCTTACACAAATTACCTTCTGGGCAGAATCTGGAAGAGACAAGTCTTTCACCATGCCTCTTAGCTTGGTCATCTCCATATCCTGCCAAGTGGCCGTTTCCCTCACTCTCGCCAGCTCCATATCCTTCTCCTCCAGCTGAGCCTTCAGCTCGGAGTTCTCCTTCCTCGTGGCCTCCAAGGCGGTTTCAAGCTGAAGATGCCTCGGTCCGGCCAACTCTGGTTTGAGATTTGAGTCAGGAACGTTGTCGATGATGCCAGAGTTCAGTCCAGCGGTTCCGAGTGAGAATTGATCGGTTTCAGGAGTTGAAACGGCGGTGACTTCTTTGTCAGCGGACGAGCCATCGGTACTGCACTTGCCAATATTTCCAAGAGCATGACGGCTGTCCGAAGATTCATTGGAGGAATCATGCTCGTCCTGCTGTTGATTCTCCTGGCTCTTCGTTTGCGATGAATATGCATCTGAAGCGTTTTGGTCTTCGGACGGCCTCACTACCGAAGCCGAGGTGTCCTGCTGACTGCTAACGGATATGGATTCTTCTATATCTTTCTTCTCCCGCTGAAGCTTCTCAACCTTCATCTGATACTTTTCCAGTTCATTCTGACACAGCGCAAGCCGCTCTGCTTGCTTCCCTAACCGTTTCTGATAGCTGTCGTCGATACCAGCGAGGTCCTTCTGGAGAGCCAAGCACGTGGTCTCTGATTTCGCAAGAGCAGCTCTCACTTTCACTAGCTCGGCCTTGAGCGACTTATTCTCCTGTGCCAAATCCATCTGTGCACCTACACCATGCGATACACCACTGGACTAGAAATATCGGACCTCACTGATAAAGTTGTCTGATAAGTTGCTCGCTTGCTGCAATGATGCTTCTGAAATCTGTTCCCTGTCACAAAGCCTTCGGTTATGACAACTTCAAGGTCATGGCTTCACCTGCCATGCTGATGCCTTCGTGATGCCATGTATATGGACGGTGCACATCCTGACACACTCGGGTTCATCGAGGTGATTCGCTGTCAATAAACACTTTACGGGCTCCGGGAAAATGTGCCCAATGACAGCTGCACGTGCCTGACCTCAGTTCCCGCCAAAATTTCAACTTTGCCGTGAGTGTCCTCGAGACTAGGCTGAGTCGCTAACTCGCGATATGATCGTGTGGCTGAACTCAAAATCCGTAACCCGTGAAGTTCCAGTCCAGGTCCAGATTACCGTGTTAGAATAATGATTAATCAAGTTCAGGAAACTCTATCAAATATCTAACTAGATGTTTCACATTTATCAAAAGTCAACAATTAATTGAACTAATAATTGAAAATCAACTAGTGATCTACTATAATTCCCATGTACTGTATGCATGGGGGGTTCCTCTTGGCCGCTAGGAGCAGATCTCCTAACGTTACACCCAAGCACAGCGGTGAGGTGGGAACCATGGCTTGGGACCCTGTTGGGGGGGAAAGAGAGAACACATACAGAAGGATACTGCCCTGGGGCAGGTGAAAATTATCCTAGAATCCACTGCCGCCCATCCTTGCTGGCCCTCCCTGCTGCTCCGGTCTTCTGCCCAGTACTGCTTCAGGACCAGCTGTGCAATTTTGCTCACTGCAAGTTTTGCAGTGAGGAACGAGCAAAAGGATTTTGAGATGAGACATCTCTCAAAACCCTGTTTTTGCTCACTGCAGCGAATCTGCAGTGAGAAGGAGAGAGAGAGAGAGAGTTTCATGCTGAAACTCACAAGAGAGTGAGTTTTGAGATGTCTCTCAAAACTCAGAGAAGAGGAGAGAGGAGGAACGGAACACTGCAGTGCACTGCAGGACACGACAGAACTGCCACCGGCAGCTCACAACTGGATTTGAGGCGCCTCAAACCAGCAAACGAGGTCCTCACACCCCACTCTCACTCTCAATCTAACTCTCACTCGCTCCTCCCCTCACCCTCACTCTGCAGCCTTCTGCAGATCTCCACACTCCGCTCGCCTCTCACTCTTGCTCTCCTCGCATCCTCTCTATGCTCCTCCCAGCAGGTCCCACCCGTCTCCCTCCATTGCTGCTGCTGCTGCTACTGCTGCTCCCCGCTGCTGCTGCTGCCACCGCTGCTGTCACTGCGGGCCTCTCTTCTGCTCCCACTGCTGCTGCCACCGCTGCTGTCACCGGTAGTGTCATTGCGGGCCTCTCTTCTCCTGCAACCGCTGCTGCCAACGCTGGTGTCATTGTTGCTTCTCTCTGCTGGAGTCATTGCGAGCCTCTCTTCTACTTCAACTGCTGCTGCCACCGCTGGTGTCCCTGTTGGTTTTCTCTGCTGCTACCACTGGTAGTGTCATTGCGGGCCTCTCTTCCTGCAGCCGCTGCTGCCACCGCTGGTGTAATCGTTGGTTCTGTCTGCTGGTGTCACTGCGGGCCTCTCTTCTACTTCCTCTGCTGCTGCCACCGCTGCTGTCACTGCTGCTGTCACTGCTGCTCTCACTGCGGGCGACTCTTCTGCTCCCACTGCTGCTGCCACCGCTGATGCCACTCCTCCCTTCCCTGCTCCACCTGATGCCACTCCAGCTGTCTTCTCTCTTCCCTGCTGCATCTGACTCCAGCGTTGGCGAGAAGAGCAGCTCCTGCTCTTGCCGTTGACACAGGAGGGAGGTACCAGCTCCAGCTCATGCCGTTGACTCGCCTGGCGAGAAGAGCAGCTCATGTCTCCTCTCCTCCCTTCCCTTGCTGCCAACGACTCCGGCGTTGACTCTGGCGCCTTCTGCTCAAGCCGTTGACTTGCCTTGCTGCAGCTTTCTGAGTAGTGGACCTTTTCTCGCTACTTCCCTCGCCGTTCAGACTAGTATACTAGTACTATAGATCGTTACTCTTAGTAGGCTTGCTGCGTTTCGAACCCATCGAATTTCAACTGTGACTAGCCTTGCTGCAGCATCAAGTAGCATCTCTTGGGGAGATGGGACGGTTGAGCAGGTCAGGTCATTTCTTCTCCAGGGTCGACTCTGGCGCCGACTCTGGCGCCTTCTCTCCTCCGTACAGCCTTCTCCCCATACGGCCACTAGCAGCAGCTTGCAGGCGCCTTCTGCTCAAGCCGTTGTTGCCTTGCTACAGCTTGCTGGAGTCGACTCAAGCGCCTTCGCTCCTCCGTACAGCCTTCTCTCCTCCTTCTCTCCCCTCTGCCACCTCCGCCAGCATCAAGTAGCATCTCTTGGGGAGATGGGACGGTTCAGCAGGTCAGGTCATTTCTTCTCGTGTTGCCGTTTCGTTCATGCGCCGGGAAAACGTCAGAGAGAGGGGAGGGTTCAGCAGCTCTTCTTGTCGTGCTGCTGTTTGCTCCACGGCTGCTGCTGGGAGGAGGTCAGTGCTGCTGCTGCCACTGATGCTCTGGTCGCTGCTGCTCTCCTCTGGTCGGCCACCGTACCCACTCTGGCGCCTTCTCTCCTCCGTATGGCCTCCTCCGCCATCTCCTCTGGTCGCTGCTGCTCCGTGTTCCAACCACACATTAATACTCCCTGCACAGCAACCAGAGAATTGCGACCAAAGAGTTGAGACCAAGGTTAATCAGTGAAGAGGCTACAAGTCAACAGAGTAAACTGACAGTGGAATGTAATGATTGCAAGGAGGAACGAACGGGAGTGTTAAGTCACAGAGTAAACTAACAGTGAAATAGTGAAGAATAACGAATGCACGAAGGAAGAAGCTACTTACTTACTTTTCCTGTCGCTGCTGCTCCAGTCGCTGCTGCTCCTGTCGCTGCTTCTCCTGTCGCTGCTGTCGCTGCTTCTCCGTTTCCCCAGCAACGCCTCACCGTCCCTGCACAATGAATCGCAAGGTGCAACCTCACAGTGAAGGTTAGTAACTGGGTAGAGGTTACAAGTTGACAGAGAGAAAACAGATGACACAATGCAAGGAGAACAACGATGAACAGAAGGCGAATGATATGCGAAAAGGAGGAGAGGGAGGAGGAGGGGGAGGAGGAGGAGGAGGAGGATGAGGAGGAGGAGGAGGAGGAGGAGGAGGAGGAGGAGGAGGAGGAGGAGGAGGAGGAGGAGGAGGAGGAGGAGGAGGAGGGAAGGGAAGAGGAGGGGGAGGGAGGAGGAGGAGGATGAGGAGGAGG